GTATTGTAGCTCTTCTAATAAGTAGGTAGCAATATCTCATTGTGGTCTTAACTTTACATGTCCTTAATGGCTGTAATGTTCAATGTCTATTCATGTAGTTATTTGCTACTCATATCCTCGTCAGTGTAATGTCTCTTCATGTCTTTTGTCTGTTTTCCAATTGAATTTTATATAATAAAGTTATTTGTCAGATATGTAGTTTGAAAATGTTTTCTCCTAGTCTATCACCTGATTTTTTATCCTCTTTTGCAGAACAAGTTTTTAATTTTGATAGAAGTCTAGCTTAACATTAAAAAAAAAAAACTTATTGATCATGCTTTTCGTGTCATGTTCTAAGAACTCTTCACCAAGTCCTAGTCCTGAAGATTTTTTCCTGTTATCTTCTGAAAGATTTAGAGTTCTGTATTTTAATCTCTGATCCATTTTGAGTTAATTTTTGCATAAGATGTGAAATGAGGTCGAGGTTCTTTTTTTTGGCCTGCAGACGTCCAATTGCTCCTGCAACATTTGTTGAAAAGGCAGTCCTTCATTGATTGGCTTTTGTACCCTTGTAAAAAAAACCAGTCAGTTATGTTTGTGTGGATTCTCTATACTTCCAAACTACCACACAGTGTTGATTCCTGAAGCTACGTAAGTTTTGAAATCTGTAGTGATTCCTCTCACTTAAATTTTTTTCAAAATTGTTTTTAGCTACTTGAGGTCTTTTGCCTTTCCATATAAATTTTGGAATAACCTTGTGTCTATCTACAAAATGTTTTGCTGCAATTATGATAAAACTATGTATCAATGTGGGTAAAATTGACCTTTACTATGTTTACTATGTTGAGTCCTCCAATCCGTAAGCTGAAATAGAGCCCATTTATTTAGATCTTTTATTTTCTTTAATCAATGTTAGGTAGCTTTTAGTATACAAGCCCCGTGTTTTTGTGACATTTGCACCTAAGTTTTTTAGTAATTGTAAATGGTATTGTATTTTTGAGTGTGCACATGTACATTGCTATTATATAGAAATGCAGTTGGCTTTGTGTGTAGATTTTTGATTTTTTTATGTGATCCTGTAATCTTGTTAAACTCACTTATTAGTTCTAGTAGGTTGTTTTTTAAGATTCCTTAGGATTTTTCTGCATAGACCATCATGTCAACTGCAAATAACAGTTTTATTTCTTCCTTTCCAATCTATATGCTTTTTCTTTTTTTAATCTATTGCACTGGTTAGAACTTCCAGTACTAGTTGAGTGACATTGGACGGTAGGCATCATTGCCCTGTTCCCTGATTTCAGGGAAAACATTCTTTCACCATAAAGTATGATTTTAGTTGTAGGGGCCTTTTTTTTGTAGATATTCTTTATCAGTTTAAGGATGTTCTCCTCTATTCCCTTTCTTTTTAGAGTTTTTATCATAAACGGGTGTGTAGTTCTGTCAAGTGCTTTTTTCTGCATCTGATATGCTCATGTGATTTTTCTATTTTAGCCTGAATTACACGGTGTGATTTTCTAATATTACATCGGTCTTGTATCCCTAAAACAAATTTCACTTTTTCATGGTATATAATTTTTATTTTTATTTTGTTACCATTAATCTACAATTACATGTCATGGTATATAATTCTTATTATCTATTGCTGCATTCTATTTGCTAACTTTTTAAACGAATTTTTGCATCTGTATTCATTACGACTGTAGGTTTGGTTTTTCGTTTGTTTTTTTTATTTTGGTACTCTCTTCATCTGGTTTTGTTATCAGGGTAATAACTGGCTTCCTAGAATGAATTGGGAAGGGTCTCCTCTTTTATTTTTAGTAGAACAGATTTTAGTCCTAATTCTTCTTTACTATTTGGTAGAATTCTCTATTGGAAACATCTGAGCCTGGAGATTTTTCAGGAAGTTTTAAAATTTCATTTCCTTCATAGTTACAGGGTTATTCAAATGATCTGCTTCATTCTGCGCTGAGTTGTGCTTGCTTGTGCCTTTCAAGGAATTGGCCCATTTCATCAACATTGTCAAATTTATGTGTAGATTTTTTCATAGTAGCCTTGTTATCTTTTTGATATTATCTGATCCTGATATTAGTAATTTATTTTTCTCTTTTTTCATCAATTTTGCTAAAGGTCTGTCAATTTTATTGGCCTTTTAAAAATAACCAGCTTGTTTCACTCTCTTCTATTCTTTTTGTTTTCAAATTACTGATTATACTCTTAATGTTTTCCTTCTTCCTGCTTACTCTGGCTTTAGGTTACTGATGTGAGACTTTTCTCTTTTCTAACACATGCCTTTTGGTACATTTTTGTTTTAAGTATTAAACAGCTTAGAAAACGTTAATAGGGAAAGGAAATCCGATTGTATTTGCCTATATTTTTGCTACTACCATGTTCTTTCTTCTTCCCTGGTGTTCCAACATTTCTTCTCTTACCATTTCCTTTCGGTTTAAGAAACCTTCCTTTAGCCATTAGTAGGTCTGCTGGCAACAAAATCTCTGTGTTCCTTTCTCTGATAAAACCTTGATTTCCCCTTCACTCTGAGGACATTATTTCTGCTGGATGTAGAATTCTTGGTTGGTAGTACTTTTCTTTCAGCACTTTAAAATGTGTGTCACTTCCTTTCAGCCTCCACAATTTCTGAAGAGAAACGTGCTGGCATCTGAACTGTTTTTCCCCTTTAGGAAATGGGCCATTTTTATCTGGATCCTTTCAAGATATTTAGTCTTTACTCTTCAGAAGTTGGACTATGATGTGTCTAGGTGTGGATTTATTTGGGCTGGTTATGGTCTGTTCAGCTTCTCAAATCTCTAGGTTTGCAGTCCCGCCCTCCACCCCCCTTGAGGGGTATTATGTTTAGTACACATGGTGTGGGGGATCACGGGGAAAACAGTGAAGCACAGAGAAGGCAAACAGTGAATCTGTGGCATCTTGCTGTACTGATGGACAGTGACTGCAGTGGGGTATGGGTGGGGACTTGATAATATAGTAAATGCAGTAACCCCCTCCAAGCCAAATTTGAGAAGTTTAGAGCCATTTTTGCTTTGAACACCTTTTCAGCCCCACCCTCTTCTTCTTCTCATTCTGGGACTCTGATGACACAAATGTTAGATTTTTTGGGGTTTAGTCTCAAATGTTCCTAAGGTTATGCTCAGTTTATGAGCAACCCTACCTCCCTCTAGGAACACAAAGGATATTCTTGAAAGTGAACGCATACCATGGACACACAATGGGGAAATGACAGCCTCTTCAACAACCGGTGTTGGCAAAACTGGACAGCTACATGCAAGAGAATGAAACTGGATTATTGTTTAACCCCATACACAAAAGTAAACTCAAAATGGATCAAAGACCTGAATGTAAGTCATGAAACCATAAAACTCTTAGAAAACAACATAGGCAAAAATCCCCTGAATAGAAACAAGAGCAACTTCTTCCTGAACGCATCTCCTCAAGCAAGGGAAACAAAAGCAAAAATGAACTCATGGGACTACATCAAACTAAAAAGTTTCTGTACAGCAAAGGACACCATCAACACAACAAAAAGGCATCCTACAGTATGGGAGAATATATTTGTAAATGACATATCCTACAAGGGATTAACATTCAAAATATATAAAGAACTTACATGCCTCAACACCCCAAAAGTAAATAACCCTATTAAAAATTGGGCAGAGGATATGAAGAGACAGTTCTCCAAAGAAGAAATTCAGATGGTCAACAGACACATGAAAAGATTCTCCACATCACTAATTGTCAGGGAAATGCAAATTAAAACCACAATGAGATACCACCTCACACCAGTCAGGATGGCCAGCATTGAAAAGACCAAGAACAACAAATGCTGGTGAGGATGCAGAGAAAGGGGAACCCTTCTACACTGCTGGTAGGAATGTAGGCTAGTTCAACCATTGTGGAAAGTAATATGGAGGGTCCTCAAAACACTAAAAATAGACATACCATTTGACCTGGGAATCCCACTCCTTGGAATTTACCCAAAGAATACAACTTCTCAGACTCAAAAAGACATATGCACCCCTATGTTTATCGCAGCACTAGTTACAATAGCCAAGATATGGAAGCAACCTAAGTGGCCATCAGTAGATGAATGGATAAAGAAGATGCGGTACATATACCAATGGAATACTATTCAGCCATAAGAAGAAACCAATCCTACCATTTGCAACAACATGGATGGAGCTGGAGGACATTATGCTCAGTGAAGTAAGCCAGGCGGAGAAAGACAAGTACCAAATGATTTCACTCATATGTGGAGTATAACAAAGCAAAACTGATGGAACAAAATAGCAGCAGACTCACAGACTCCTGACCACAGACCACAGAAGAGACTAGTGGTTACCAAAGGGGAGGGGTATGGGACGGCAGGTCGGGAGGGAGGGAGAAGGGGATTGAGGGGTATTATGTTTAGTACACATAGTGTGGGGGATCATGGGAAAACAGTGAAGCACAGAGAAGGCAAACAGTGAATATGTGGCATCTTGCTGCACTGATAGACAGTGACTGCAATGGGGGTATGGGTGGGGACTTGATAATATGGGTAAATGAAGTAACCACATTGTTTTTTCAAGTGAAACCTTGATAAGAGTGTATATCAATAATACCTCAATAAAAAAAATGGTGTTGGGGGGAGAAAAAATCAAAGCATATACTCTGCTACCCTACAGCAACATGTTCTGGTCTGGGGATAAGTTCTAAAAGCTTTTCTTGATTTCTGGCTTATCTTCCAAAGACTACATCTAGCTTGTTTAGGAAAAATGGGGCTGGGGTATAAGAATGAAGTATTTTTTTTAACACACATTTTCAGCACTTAACATATCCATCACTCCCCCAAGTTCCACATGCCTCTGTAGTCCATTCCTCCTCCCCACTAAAAGCCTCATTCCTCTGCAATTACTGATCTACTGTTACTGGGTTAATTTCATTTTCTAGGATTTTATATAATGGACTCGTATGGCATGAAATTTTTGTCATGAGTCGTACACTCAGTAAAATTATTGAGATTCATCTACAGTGCTGTATTGATTTATTCCTTTTTTACTAATGAAAATTATTATACAGATAAACCACAATTTTTGTATCCATTCACTTCTTAGTGGACATATAGGTTGTTTCCAGTTTGGGGCTTACAGATACACCACCATGAACATGCACGTTCAAGTCTTTATGTCGACATAGGCTTTCATTTTTCCTGGGTAAAAAATGAAGAGCAGAATTGCTGGATGTATGATAGGTGTATACTTAACTTCTAAAGAACTGTGAAAATGGCTCCCACAAAAGGTCAGAAAAAAATGAAGCCAACTGTTCGTTCTTTTTATGGGTCATGAGAAACTGTAGTCCATTTCATCCCAGAGTAGCCCACTAATTAAAAAAAAAAAAAAAAAGAACTACTACCTGCTCATGTTTAAAAACTTACAGGGGGAGACCCTTCCTTACTGTCAACATAAATCCTGCCCCCAAATCTTTGCATCTTTTCTTCTTCGCTGGCCTTTAGTAGGTAGAAAGCATCCATTTACCATTCTCATCTTCAGAGTATTACTGACTCTTCTCTTCATTCAGCTCAGTTCATTTCCTGTGGATATTAACTGAAGTGACATTATGAAACTATTTCATCGGTAATAAAAGGTATTAAATATTTAAATATCTACACATTGCTGGGCTCCTGGCCATCTGGGAAATCGATTTTCAAGAGACTCTTATCACCTCTGATTGACATAGGCTGACTTTAGATTTTAGTTCTCAGAAATTAAAGTATCTGACTCTCTTTGTTACCAAAACAAGAAATTATTTAAAAGTTCTCTATGTATGCCATAACCAAGGCATTTCTATAGGGCACCTATAGGGTCAGATCTGTGACCAGACGTCCTGGCGCCAGTGACTGAGGACGTGCAGGACCTTGGTCACTCCAATATGCAATTCCCAAAGTTTCTGAAAGCTAACAGAACCAGCCATAGAGGAAATTGGTCACTGGTCATTACCCATTGGCCAGTCCAAGATAGAGGGGTATTGTCCCCTCTCTAATCATCAGCTACTGGCGGAGCAACAGAGTGCCAGTGCCAGGGAACAGTGGGAAGACAAACACTGGCTTAGAGGTGAGGGAATTCATGTCACAGTGGAGGAAGAAGTGAGTAACATGGGGAAGACAGTTACATGCTAGGTTTCTGAGGTGGAAGTTGAGTCAAATCCCTTTTTGAGCAACTGGCTTTTTCCCTATCTTTCGTGCTGGGTAATGAAATAAATTTCCTTTTTGAGTGTGGGATCTGTTCACTTAATGGCACAGATATAATGCCATCATGAGCACCCAAAAGACAGAAGGCAAGTTTTATGTATCTCAAACACTGAGACCAGCCTCTCTGACATGTCATTAAAGCATTATCTAACTGTTCTTTATATCCTAGAGTTAAGTAAACTCTGTAATAAGTAACAAAGCAAGCAACTGTCAAGTGAACAGTAATCAGCTACTCTGGGAATTCAGTGGGGAAAGGAAGGGCACAGTCCTGTAGGTCGGGCTATTCATAAAAGCCTTCAGGAATCTGGTCTTGCAGAAAGGAGAAATTACAGAAAAATGGCAAAAACAAAGATGCCAGGAAGAGACAGTCTTAGGGCCTTCTAAGACAGAGTAGAAGAGTATGACATGAGAGGAGAGCTTGGAATGAGGACTGTGGGAGACAAGGCTGGGAAACAACAGAAGTAAATATTGGAGGGAGGATGGAGCCACTCTAGCCACACTGTTCACAAGGCAGCAAAAGCCCAGGCTGGGCTCTTAATTCACTAAGACACCTGCTTGGTTAACTGAGATAATACTCCACCAGTTGTTCATTTATCCCCATTACAAGCTGGATTAGAACCAAATTGAATTACTTCTTGTTTCATGCTGAGTACATGAAGTATCTGATGTGTGAAGAAACTGCAAGCTGCTGAACTGCAAGCACAGTATGTAAAAATTGTATTTGAACATTTACATGCTTGTAGATGCATACACATTTTTAAGGGTAAATATTCTACCAGTCAAGTTTTCCTGGGTGTAATGAAATCTGCCTCTAGTATAACAAAGGAATTTACTAGAACAATGTAGGGGATCTCACAGAATTGAAGGGAAGGCCAAACAGCCAGGTCAGAAAGAACAAGAATCAGGAAGATTCTATGGGCTTCCCTATAGGAACCACTTAGGATGCCCTGGAATGGGAAATCTAAAAACTTGTTTGATACTCTAGCTGCTCTGATCAATATTCAGTGATCTGGGAGAGGGTCTGAAGAGTCCTGTTGGTCTGGCTTTGTTCATGCACCTAGTCCTTGGCTGGGGGAAAGGAGGATAATTTATTTTAAAGGCCCCCAAGACTGTACCCAACAGGAGAGGTAGAATTCCCAAAAATGAAATGATGCTTCCAAAAGTAGGAGGTAGGAATTGGGCAGCTTTGGAACCACAAACCTCCACTGTACCTAACTACATTAATTCTGGTCCCCTCTGGGGAGGGAGAACCTATATCACAGCCCTCTGGGACGATGGGGATTTTTAACACTGTATGATGATTTGGTGAGTTTATGCCAAAACTAAAACATCAAACAGATCTTTGCTCCAAACACACAGGAATAACGGGCAAACTACAAAAAGAGAAATCAAAAAAAAGGATAAAACATAAAAATGTCCTTGGACCAGAAATCAAAATGATGCCATTTTATAACTCTGGGTGGGGTGCAATGTCTTTAGTGTCCTTAGGGGCATTAGTTATCAAGTGCGATCATATACTTGGATTTAGATGAGGTCCTGGAACTCCTAAGGGTAGCAACTGTAGGACAAGAAAGAAGGAAAGAAACAAAAACATGATCTTGCATACCAAAACTCCAAAACACATAAGGAAACAATGTTAAGAAAGACAGCAACAAAATTAGAACAGGAATTCATTCCAGAACAGCCTGGAAAGAATAAGATAAACTGAAATAATAAAATGGCTTGAGAATGATTAAAGAGATAAATGGACGTTATACTTCCATAAAAAGAACTGTAAATTATTTAATAAAAACAGAAAGGATAAATAATATCAATAAAGTGAGCTGGATATAGTCAAACTGTGAATAAGGAAATTGGAAGACAATACTGAGGAAATCACCCAACAGGTAAGACCCCCCCCTCCACCTACACATCTAATAGGCATCTCAAGTATTTTTAGGTAAAGAACCTCATCTTTAAATCATATCTCTACTAGGAGAAACAAAACACATCAAAGAGAGCCATTCTGGTTGAAGTGGAGGTGGAAGAATGGATCTGTGTCATTAAATGAGCATTGGGGTATACCTCAGTGACTTTCCTTCTATCACCGTCTTTTTTGGACAACTGCTACAATTCTGCATTTTTTAAAACACTATTAATTACCTCAACTAAATAATAAGCATGTTGAAGACAGAAGCTGCTTTATTCTCCTATTCAAGCCCTCAGCAAATATTTGATTTTGGTTATGCTTTAATGAATTACAATGTAAGGAAATTCAGCTCAAACTAGATAGAAACTAAAAAACAAGGTTTATACTTTATATATTGTGTAGTTCCATTATTATATAAATAGCTTTTAAAAAAGCATATTTTTTCTTTTTAAGTTAAAGTTCATCTTCCACTTCTATTAAAACTGTATGTATCCAAGGTTAATGCTATTTTGCCATTGTTACAGAATTATAACTATATTTAGTATTGAGGTAGATACAACTCAATAAAACAAGAACAGATACAAAATTAATTTCCAATTAGGTAGAATTTTAAAATCTGAATTTAAGAGCAGTAATTAATGAAATAGTAAAAACACTGCTCAGTACTACCAAAGCCCAGTTAAAAAAAAAAAAAAATTCAGATCTTTTGCAATCTTATCAAGGATAATATACCCTCCCAACCCCCCAAAACATATTAAGAACAAAAAAAGTGATCACATCTAGGGAGATTTTACACAATACAAACACACACACACACACACACATTCTCTCACTAAACACATAGCTTTGTATGCCAGTAATATTTTAAAAATGCAGTAAAACTGGATGATTTTCCCAAAGAAATACAAACATAATAAAAAAAGTAGAGAATTATTATAGGTTATAACTAATATAAGAAACTGTAAGAGCAGTAAAAAAGTACTTGAAAATATGTATAGTTTTATAGGAGTGTTTATCAAACCATCAATGAACAGATAATTCTCTTATATAAACTGTTCCACAAGATAGAAAAACCTACACAGCTCAGTTTATAAGACTATCCTATAGTCTCTAAAACTAGACATAAATAGCCTAAGAAATCTAAGGCAATCTCACTTATGAATATAGATATATTAAACGAATTAACAAATTAATGTTAAAAGAACATAAAAAGAACAAAATCCAAAAATAGGGTTTATACTGGTTAAGGTAATTCAACATTAGAAAAGGCATTAGCAATATTCACTCCATTAAAAGATAAATGAAAAACTACTATTTTCTAACTCTTCAAAAACTCATCGGATAATTTCAAAACCTAACCCTTAGGAGGGTGGTGGTAGCGGGAAGTGACCATTTAGGAAACCAAGAAGAAAAGGAAATTCCCTTAATTTGATAAAGATCATCTATGAGAAATTTCAGCATCCACTATACTTTTCCATGCCAGGAAAGAAACAAGGATGCCTACAATTGTTATTAGCTTACAGAAATAAGAGAGGATAAAGAACTTTTATTAAAAATCAAAATGCATTTGCAGATACTATGATCAACTATCTAGAAAATCCCAGAGACTTAAATAACAAAACACTTTGACTAATTGAATTCAGCAAAGTAGCTACAAATAGACAAAAAACAACTTCATATTACTGAACATTGTACTGCAGGAAATACAGAATTTTTAAAAAATCAATTCATAAGCAGTTTTAAAAATACATGAATAAACTTTAAAAAGTATGCAATGCCTAACATAAAATAACTCATTTTACTGGAGGATGTAAAATTAATGGAGATTAATGAATGGAGACACACAGTGTTCTAGATGGAAAAACTTGCTTTAAAAATGCTAATCCTTCCCTCATAGTAACCTAGGAAATCAACCCAAAACTCATCAAAATTCCTTTTCTGGCACTTGGTGATTCTCATGCTATTTAACAAAAGAATATATATATATATTTTTTAACTGAAAAGGAAGAAATGGGCAACTAACCTATCACAGAACATAACGTTACACTAATTGCAAGATTTTATTAAGAGAAAAATAATGGAAGACTCTTAGGTGCCATTTCCTGAGACATAGGATACAAGGCGGTGGGACAGGAGCAGTTTGGTGGGAGGAGGAAGAGCTTTGTTGAGGTACATGAAATGTGAGATACGCATTAGACCTTCAAGTGCAGATGGAGGCAGAGAGTTGGATGTGGAAGGTGGAGCTCAGGGGAGAGGACTGGGCTGCAGTGATATATCTGAAATCATGGATGCCACAAAACTTTTCCTTGGCTTCAGTTTTCTTCTTGTGAAGTTATACAGTTTGGCTTTGGCTTTGCAGGTAAGTTTCAGAAGCCCACCAACATTTCTGTTTTCTGAGGAAATGGGCAGAAATGTGTTTAGATAAACTTAGCAGAGGTTTAGACAAATTTCTATTTTTATTGTTCCTATAATTCCTGTATTATTTTAAACTACATTTCATTTTAATGTTATTTCCCTTTAAAATGATGAACAAACTTTTATTTTCCATAAAGATGCAAAGTCTCCGACATTCAAAATACCCTCTACACTGTCAGGATGGCTCCTTCATTTTTCTTGAAAACACCAGGAATATCACTCTGGCCTCTTGAGTTTACAGACTGCCCCGAACCTCACAACTACCCTGACCTGTACCCTATTCTTTAAGGGCTTGACAGCATGATGAAAACTTTGCTCCAACCCTATCCTCCCTTACCTCTAGGATATACTCATATGGTCTTAATCATAAGCTCCCTTGCATTTTAAACATTTCAAATCTATTTCTCAAACTATATAAACCCATTAAAAAACTAATTTGAATGAATTTCAAGCTTGTGAACACCAAATACTGTATTTTCTAATATGCATACTTTGCTTTCTACCCCAAAAGTACATGATCCAAATCTAAAGTGCAAAGTAACTCAACTGTACAAAATCTAAAACAACAGGACTCCACCGTCAACCAACAGCACTAAACCAGTAATAATGTGAAGGACAAAATGCAGTTGAACTGTGAAGAGACAGGAGCCAGGGCATTAAGGGCAGTGATGGTCCACCCAGAAGAGAGGGTCAGGCAACCCCTGGCACAGAAGACCTACTGAAGGCAGCCCCTTCTTAACTACCAGGCCACCAGCTGCAGGATTTGGGTGTGCTACCCCAGGAAGAGGCAACCAGGACTGGAGAAAAACTCTACCTTATTCCATTTATGCCCATACTGTCCTCATTCAGCATAGAGTAGAAAACTGGCTTATGGTAACCCACCAAAGATGTGACCCCAAGCAACTGGGGCAGAATGAGAACTCCATGTGTAAACATGCAAATGTACATGCACACGTGATGAGCACCCACACTCCAGACGATAGGGCCATGCATGCCCTACAGATTTGCATGTATACTATGAAACAATCTGAGTTAGGAAACTGGAATTGTTGCCACCACCATTTATTTATCTAGTTCATAACTTAAGTATAGAACTTAAGTATAGTAGTGTTAGGAATGCAAAGAAGTCCCTGCCCCTGTGGGGCTTACAGTCTTATTAGGGAAATATAACAGGCACGTAAAAAGACTAAGAGCACATGCTAACAAATGTCACAATTCAGAAGGCAGCACAGTTTAAGGGATCAGGAGTCACAAAACCCAGTTTTCTAGTCCCAACCTGTAAGTCTGTTAACTTCTCTGGGCTTACTACCCCAGCTGCAAAATAAAGTAGTGACATTTAGAGGCTGTCTGCATTTGTTTGCATCATGATTCTGATCAAAAGCTGAGGAAGGTGGCACCTGAGCGGGGCACTGAAGACAGAGAAGGCATTTCAGACAAGGAAAGTGGCACTGAGGTAGGCATAAGCGTGGGGCTCGGAGGGAAGACAGGAACACTGGGAGTGAGGTAAATGGGTGGCTGTGGAAGCCCTCAGGCACTACTGACACAGGAATGAGCTGTGTTCCTCACATTTACATCCAGTAAGTTACAGTACATAATTTCAAAGAGTAGAAAATACCAGAGAACAATGGTGGCATTTTATCAAACATTTCACTCAATTTCCAGAAAATATAAATTAATTTAACATTATACTTCTACATTTAAAACTGACATCAATACTGTTCCAAATGTCAAAATGTAAACCAATTCCATTTATACTCTTAGTAAACAACTAAATCTCTTAATTCAGAAGGACATTTGATACAAATTATATTATCCCAATGATCCCAACATTTATTTTCTACTACGTTTCATGCACTGTGTAAATAAAAATGCATTAAGACAAGGTCCCTGCCCTTGAAGAGCCCGTAGCCTGGTAAGTGAGACAAACATCAACCATGCCCACCTAGAATGTACCACGGTGCATGGCATGATCAAAGGCATGGACACCTGGCTATGGAGGAGAAAAGACCTTCTCAAGGAGTTTGACAAGGGCTCAGGGGGAGGAGGTCAGTGGCTCAGGGAGAAATGAGCTTGGCAGGGACAAAGTGTCTGTGAGGAGGAGAGGGCTTCCTGGCAGAGGGCACAAGGCTACAGACAGGGCGTCTAGGAGAGTGGTGTGGCCAGAACCTACCACAGGAATTGTGTGGCTAGAGAGGAGTGTACAGAGCAATAGCTAGTGATATGGAAGCCTAGATTTAGTCCTATAAAAACAGGGAGCCACTGCTTGCTATGCTTTAATCATCTACCAGCCCTTGTTTATAAGGTTAGGAGGAGACAGGAGAGAAAGTGAGCAGTGAGGTTCTGTCCATGTCATAGGCAGTCACTATGAGCTCTTCTCAGCAAATCACACTGTTCAGGAAAACCCCAAACCCTCCATCACCTCCTTTCCTTCTCTTCTCCTTTCCCTTATCATCTGTGAGTCTTCAAAGTGAAGCTGGACTGGAAAGGCATAGGGGAAGAACAAATGAACAGGATTAGAAATGCACACCTATGGCTAATCAAGTTACCAAGAAGTAATGATAACTGTATTCTACAAAGACCTGCAGATGAAGTAAACTAATTCTTTTTCAGGAGTGTTCTAAAAGCGCCTAATTCATACCAAAGTATTGGAAATCTGATTCAATGTGGGAAAAGTTACAGAACCCTTGCAGAAGACTCCATTTCCTAAACTATTTTCCATTAAATATCAGTGTTACAAATACAATACTATAGATTTCAAAGCTTATCTTCACATAATTCAGAGTAGACAAACATTGCATTGTTTGGCTTAAAAAATAAAAAGATACAGCGTATAATTCCAAGTCTTAGGTTCTTAGCTGCTACCAAAATATGTCAATACATGAATAAACTGCCTAATGAAGAACATGCACTCAAAGGTAGACACAAACAAGCCACCCTTTTAGGGTAGACATGAAACTCCAATTTCTCATATAGAACCAATTCTATAAAAGAACCAATTCTAAAAAAAAAAAAAAAAAAAACCTTCTTAAAATTTCATTTTATAATGAAGAAAATAAATCTGTGTATTTTATTTAACATTCATTCTTAAGTTACAGTTATGCCAAACAATCTGCTTCTAATGAAAGAAACCTTAATACAACCCTAAAAACATGCATATACATTTAGTAGGATCTTCTACATATCTAAATAAAACTTACATGCATGAAATACAATAACCAATAAAGAATTCCAATAGGAGAATTGTCTGCATGGAGACTTAACTACTGTACAACTTATAGACACACACACACACACACATAGAGACACAAAACCCAAAAAGCAAGTGTGTAATAGGTAGTGAGAGACACTTAAAATAAGCATATTTAAAATACCTACAAACAGGATTTTTTTTTTTTAGGCAACAAAAGATCTTCAGTCCTTGACACCTTCTCACTCTCACCTAGCACCACGGATGCAAGGACTTAACAGTAAACGTATACAATCTCATGCTTAAAAACTAAAGCATGCACTGAATAGAATTTATACATTATGATCTACTTTAAGTATGCAATACATACTTCTAATATTTTATACATTAAATTACCCTGCAGCATTTTGAAATTTTAACATTTATGCAAAACAGCTTTTGAAAGACTTAGGAAAGAAATTTTCAAGGATGACCTCCAGGCTGTTTACACAAGCATTGGTTTGGTTAAGTGGGAGAATGGCAGCAGCCTCAAGGTTCATACTGAATGAAAATGGTCTATTTGCATGTCAATTCATGTAAAAAATACATATATACACAGATGGCACAAAGATGTGTGCAGTTGGGCTCACCAGTGCAAATGCATGCATTTGAGGTACTTATTTTTTCCAATGGTCAGGTATAATTATGCATAGTCATGTTCCTCAAGTGCTAAGTATTTCAGACCTGATCAAATGAAAGCTGTAAGAAGTGTAAATATGAGACATTTTATGTAGTTAATTTCAAAGTGCTATGCTTTTAATAAGCATTTGTTTAAGATTATACGTTTACATACTTAGTTTTAAAATATTTACCAATCAATAAATTTTCTCATTGTAAAGAGACTGACTGGTAATTATACCTGGCCAAGTGATTTAAATAGCATACTTGAAATCCTAGCAAGAACTGTAGTGAAATAGTAAAATACTTCATTATTGCTTCATTGGACTGAGAAACCTAAAAGGCATAGATAAACAATGCTCAGTGATGAAAAGTGAACAGTGGTGCATGCTCCCAAATGGCCTCTGCCCAATACAATCTAAGCTCTCTCCACATTATCGATGCCGTTGGCATCCACCTGGATACCAGGCTCCCCACACAGAGATGAGGGAACAAAGCGGTTAACAGTGGGACACAAACAGCTCTTAAGCTCTGGCAATTCTTGCTTCAGGCGTTCCAACTGCTCCACTTGGAATATATTTGGCTGTTCAGGCATCCAATCATATATCCTATGATGAAACAAACACAAAACACATAAAATAGTGTAATTTTGTGGTTTACTTAAGACCTATCTAACTTAACCTTTTCAGGAGAATCTGTTTATAGGCTGGCTAGAACATCCATATTATAAGTCTTTTTTCAGGAGAATCTGTTTATAGACTGGCTAGAACATCCATATTATAAGTCTTTTTTTAAAGGCATAAGCATCAGTTCTATTTAAAAATGTTTCTAGTCCCCTCAGTCTAGTAATCTGGAAGAGTGTCTTTTCTTTTGTGTCCAATGCAAGAGCAGATTATGAAGCAACTGAATCAGTCAATGAAATCTGCAGTTTTCTAGCCATTCTTCAAGTATCTTCTTTCCAAGTCAATCTATGAGTAATGCCTTATTTTACAGATGGGAAGCTACTGAGGCAGAGCTAGAATTATACACTGTTGACTTCAAAGCACTAAAGATCAAGGTGAGAAGGACAGCTCACCAATATGAGAGCTATCCTAGAGCTGCGTAGTACTGGCAGACGTACCCAGAGTCGAGAAGAAGCCAGAAAAAGCCCCATGTGACGATGGCAACACTGGCACTGCCCATCAGCAGAGGCAGGATGGCCTTTTGTGCCTAAATGGGAAAGCCGAGCAACTCATATTCTAAAGATAGAACACAATCTTTACGACATCATAGTAAAGAAGAATTTCTTAAACAAGCTAAAAATACTTATCCACTCTATTTAAATATCTGACTCTATTAAAACAAAGACTTTCTGCTAATTAAGGACATATGTAAGAAAGTGGAAAGTGACCTCCAGGTCACGATATCAGACTGAACAGAAGCATCTAACTTCACTCTCCCCTTTAGCCCATTAAAAATAAAATAAAGGAATATTTTAAAAATCCATGAGTATGGGAAAAACCAGGGAGATTCAGCAACAGAATTCATTAAGCTGGAAAGCAGATGGGCAAATAATCACAAAGTGTTCCAGTCAGCAGAATGGAAAAGGCCAATCATAAGTCAGTAGTATAAAAAATGAACTAGCCTGAGTTAAAGGCACCAAATTCCTGTGGAACTGGGAGGGAAAGGGGCTGCAACAGGGAGGCAGAGGCAGAGGCTGTGAAAGACAGCAAGCTTCTCCCCTTCTCCTCTTTCCCTGCTGAGGAAGCTGCCCCTTCCCCGCCTGGACCTAGGCAGATTTCAAGAATTACACAGAAAATCTCCTGGAATGGGAGATGAGATGACCAGAGGAGGGTTTGGGCATCTCAGAAAAGCCACCAGCAACTGGGGAATCAGAGACAGTAGAGACACACTGGGAAAGACATGCCCTCCCTCCCAGCTCTCTTTGCTCACTTGGCTCCAAGAACCTTGGCAGCCACACCTGGATCTTCCAGGTAGTTTATATAGGTTCTTCTATGAGAAATCTGATCAACCAAAAAAACAGAGCTCTAAATCTCCTGACATCAAAGGTTATGATGAAACAGCACTCCCAGATCACCCCAGAGTGAAATCCAAGTCAATAAGCCCCATTCACACACTCAGAGCTTCCAACATGCGTTTTAGATCCCAAGTTCTTTTCACAAGCAGCAGCCAAGGCTATTCAAATTATCTGAGGAAAGCTTCTAACATATTAAGATGGTAAGCAAAGAAAAAAATTCCAAGACAGAAAAAAAGTCCTTAATGTCTTCAGATAAATGGTACTTTCATCAAATGGAAACAGGATTTTTTTTTGCATATTTACATATAAAAGTGTTCAGAAAAAAAGATAGTTCTTGCAAATTAAAAACACAATAGTAGACATAAAAAATTCAGTAGAATGGGTGGAAGATAAGGTTGAGAAAATCTTTCAGAGTGGAGCGAAATGACACAGAGAACAGGAGAAAAGGTAAGAATTAGAAGTCTGGTTCAAGAGTGTATAATATGCAAACAAAAGAATTTCTATAAAAGAAATCGAAATTCTGACAAAAACATCAGAAAAACAGAAGTGCCAAAAACTGAAGAAATAACTGATGAAGTTTTCTGCATCTTCAAGGACATGTATCACCAGACTAAAAGGGCTACCAGTATGTCCAGCACAATGGGTGAAACCAGAACCACAAGACCCTCCTCTGTGAAATTTTACAACACTGGTGATGAAAAGAAGACTCTCCAAGCTTCCAGAGAGGAAACAAAGAAATCAGGTATGAGGCAACAGGAATCAACAGTTTCACACCCCTCAATACAACACTGGAATTGGGACCATGACAAAGAAATGCTTTTAAATTTCTAAAGGAAAATGATTTCTAATGTGGAATTTTATACCTGGCCACAATACTTTCAGACATGCAAGATCTCAAAAGCATTTAATTTCCATGTGGTCCTTTCTCAGAAAGATACTGAAAGATATGCTTTGTAAAAATGACAATTAGGCCAAAGAGAAAAAGATTTGGACTACAGAAGCAGGAGCTCTGACACAGGAACCGGCAGGGCACAGCCATCACTCAGGATGTCAACCAAACTACACTGGAGCAGCCCACGTGAAAAAGAAGGCATGTTAAGGGCTATCACTTCAAGCTGGCCACTGCCACTCTACCAGCTTTTTAACCCAGGCACAGAGTGCCCTACTGAACCTGAACCAGAGTCACATAGTTTGTCTTAGCCACCTGTTGAAGAAATTTCTATTCTACCTGATAGGTTTATTATGCACTGGCCTACATAACAGTAACAGGCTACAATGAGCACAGAGCCTGGAAACAGAACGGCTCACCATGTGAGCACAATCCTGCTGTACTTCTAATTCTAATGCCTGACACTCAGACAGATGTTTTAACATGCTGAGCTACAGGCCTGGTGGGTTGCAATATCACTTCAGAAAGATATAAGACTATCATTTAAAAAGGTGTGGGCCAGTGACACAATAGACAAGAATTTAAAAAGTACACACATGAAAAGGAAATACCCAAGGGGCATTATCTTTAAAATTCTGTTTCAGGGACACACTTACAGATACACATTGCTATGTGTGCAGTGAGTTGCAATGTGAAATCCATTTCTAACTGGTTTGAATTCAAAAAGCTATGAAAGTCATTGCCCTAGAGACACTTTACACGCATATTCTAGGAGATTTGGTGAACAATGTTTACAGCAAACATTGCAGAAGCAAAAATTTGGCAACCACCTGAATGTCTCAAATAGAATTAACCATGGTAGAGACAGACAGCCATGAAGATAGATAAATTACAGTGAGGTACAACAAATGGATTAAGTTTAAGAACATAACAAGTGGGGGAAAAGTACAAATAAAGTTTAAAGCCATGCAAAACTAAATGGTACATATTTAGTGATAGAACTAAGAATTTTAAAAACTCTAGAAGAGAATAACATTTTGATAAACAGTTATAGCAGGAGATAAGGGAATAGAATTAGGAAGAGGCACTCAAAGGAACTTTTAAGTCTAATGACAGTGTTTAAATAAGGATGTCTGTTACTGTATTTTATAAAATCATTTGAGCAGACACAGTAATTTACTGTAAAAAAAAAAAAAAAAGGGAACATTGCACAGTTTACTCTGAGTCAAGTATTATCCCCATATCAAAATCAGACAAAACCATTTGAGAAAGGTAAAGGCCATCTTACTTATCATAAATGCAAATATCTCAAATATCAGCAAATCAAACATAGCAGTTTATATGTGGTAATATATCACAAAGCCATGATTAAATGTAAATAAAGTCTACCGAGTGTTAATGCCTTTGTACAAGAGAACAAATTCATTTTGATTAAAAAAACACTCACCTTGAGAAATGCAAATTAAAACCACAATGAGATATCACCTCACACCGGTAAGGATGGCTACCATCCAAAAGACAAACAACAACAAATGCTGGCGAGGTTGTGGAGAAAGGGGAACCCTCCTACACTACTGGTGGAAATGTAAATTAGTTCAACCATTGTGGAAAGCAGTATGGAGGTTCCTCAAAAAGCTCAAAATAGAAACACCACTTGACCCGGGAATTCCACTTCTAGGAATTTACCCTAAGAATGCAGCACTCCAGTTTGAAAAAGACAGATGCACCCCTATGTTTATCGCTGCACTATTTACAA